CTAGAAATAATACCTTTAACAGTGGACTCAAACGCCTTTAGGCTATATCAGCGGTTGCAGGCCTACTTTCACGCACTACTTGGACGTTTCGCGACGGCCTAACATGGGTTGGCCGAACGAACATCGCAGGAGGTTGCATGGACGATGTTCGCTGTTGCCCAACCTTCCCCATCGTTACACACGTACACCTGAATATACGGCATACATTCGCATTATGGAAGTTAATTACAAAACAAAATCACTTTTAAATAAGATAAATCTGCACAATATGGGACAGGAACAGTTCCCATGCATCTGTCAAAGACATGGCATTGAGGCCAAACCAAAGCCATTTCTCGGTAATTACTTCCTCAGGCACTGGACAATGACCGATATTTGAGGGCTTGAATGTAACCGCGTACCGGGTGGGAATGCTGTGAATCAGAAAGATGGCGCGCTGGTGATAGAAACGAATGGGCGAGTTCCAGGAAGCAGTTCAGAAGAAGAAGAAGAAGAAGAAGAAGAAGAAGAAGAAGAAGAAGAAGAAGAAGAAGAAGAAGAAGAAGAAGAAGAAGAAGAAGAAGAAGAAGAAGAAGAAGAAGAAGAAGAAGAAGAAGAAGTGATCACTGGAACAAGAAGTTTATTGGTCGATAAACTTCTTGTTCCATTGATCGCATCTTCTTCTTCTGATAATGTGTTGGTTTGTCAGCCGTAAGCCACGATGACCAGAGGTGCCAATAACACACCTCACCACTTTCTCTAAGTGTTTCCCGAGTCATCACTTGTCATTGCTGAGAGCCATTCCAACGCCGAAAGAAAACACACACTATCACTAAGACATTTCACGAAACTTTGATCACGAACGCTGAATGCACTATGTCTACTTTCAAGTGCGCTGACCAGCCTTCGTCTAATTCAACATCTATTAAACCGATGTTGTCAAAATTACGATTCAGTGCTCCAGATCGATGAGAAGTTTCTAGAATTCTAAACAGGTCTGGTCCAATCCCCAAGGGTTGACCTTGAATTTCACAACATACGAGGCCATGCGCGCACGCGTACACGCACGAACGCGTGGTAGGCTCTCCGTTCGCGTCGTTTATTCTGGTACACTGTTCCAGAAGGAGGTAGAAATCCGAAGGCTGACTGCAGTCAACTGGTCCAATCAGCAACCAGTGACCTTGGCGTATGCAGTCGCTGTGCGCGCTCCTCGATGCGCTAGACCGTGTCAGTATCGCACGCGTGCGTTATGTGCAGAGGTGGTTTCGATGACGTCAGCGGCAAGCACTGACTGTCAATGCGGCCTTCTGTAGTGCTCCCTGTCTTTAAATGGTAATCCAGACAGTGGCGCGTCCCTAAAGTCCAACGGTGCATCAGTCTAGGCTTGAGTGTGGAAAACAAGGCAATCACTCTTTGATGGGAACGAACCTCTGGCTGATTTTTTTGCTAACGGGTGGAGGACGTAAGGGCTCGCGGGGATGGCTAATGAAGTGTGCGCGGACAGAAAAATGTTGATCCTGTGTGAACTCGGGACTGATTGTTCAAACTGGAAGCATTATTAGTTTGAGGGCGATGGATGAGGGATGGCGAAAGTGGGGTGATAAAATCCAGTTAATGTACATGTAGAATGAGAAACAGCAATGAGATAACCCCTCTGGATGGAGAGGCGACCCTGGCACACCGGCTAAACGACCGGTGGGAATGCAACGTTATGGGCAACTGCAGGGAAGGGTCGAAGAGGAGCCAACGTTGAGCGAGAGGGAGCGGGAGATGAGAACGACGGTACGTTGTAGGAGGGGGTGTCGGCGGTAGCGGGGGGAAGGGACACCGGCCGTCTTCGCCAGCACGCAGTTGCACCATCGCCATCCCAGGTCCGCGCCAAAAGTGTTATAAAATTCAAACAACCCTGTTCAGTCCAAGGGACGTTACAGGACGACTGCCTCACACGCGTAACAGACACGACAGTCTGGACAGGTTGTTTGAGTGAACTGAGGACACAGCGGCTCGGACTTGGGATGGGGATGGTGTTATGAAGTGCCAGTGGAGACGCCAGTGCCCCCTCCCATTCTCAGTCGCCGACCCTAGTCGTTAAAGTTATCGTGGATCGTTTCATCTTATATTATCCCTCACTCAATGTCAGTATCCCCATGTCCCTACCCCGCAGGTATCCCAACGCTGCACTCCCCAACGGTGGTTTAGCGGGCACAACGAAACACTCCCCACTCCGGGGGAGACTGTAATGCGAGTCTGATTTTCAGGAGGCGACGGGATTTTGAGAGTAATCTGCTCCACCAAGCCGTTAAAAATCCGAAATTGCTCTACAGCTATTTGCGGAAAAGCACACGTAACAGGAATCCCATTCCTGTTATGAGGGATGATGACGGCTTGGAGATCTCGGACAGTACAAATAAGGCTGAGCACTTTTCTCAATTTTTCCGATCCGTTTTCACAAGAGAAGCAGACTTTACCCAATCCAATTCTGAGAACATGAGAGATCCCACTATCGAAAATATTGTTTTTCGAGAAGAAGCGATTATGGAAGAACTGAAAAGCTTGAAGGAATGTAAATCTCCCGGTCCGGACGAGATCCCAGCAAAGCTGCTCTTTGAGCTTGCCCAACAGCTAGCCAAGCCACTATCCTTTCTGTGCCAGAAATCGTTTGATGCTGGAATTCTTCCCACAGACTGGAAGACGGCCCACATTACACCCCTTTACAAAAGCGGTAGTCGTGCTCTGGCGACAAACTACAGACCGGTCAGTCTGACATCAATCTGCTGCAAAGTGATGGAGAAAACCATCAAAAAGGAGTTGATGGCTTACTTGGAAACCCACAACCTCTTGTCCAATGCACAATATGGTTTCCGTAGGGGAAGATCATGTGTTACGAACTTGCTATACAAAATGCAAAGTTGGACACGAGCACTGGACGCAAAACACATCGTGCATGTTGCCTATATTGATTTCCGGAAGGCGTTTGACAGTGTTCCGCACCAGCGTCTCCTACACAAGTTGAGAATTATGGGCATCGGTGGCAAACTTCTCAAATGGATCGAAAATTTCCTTGTCGGCCGCTCCCAAATTGTCTGCGTAGAACAACAGCAATCAAGGTGCACATTCATAGAGAGTGGGGTCCCACAAGGCTCGGTGCTCGGACTAACCCTCTTTCTCTTGTTCATCAATGATTGTGTAGATGGGTTGGACTGTGATTGTGCCATGTTTGCGGACGACATAAAAATCTGGAAAGTCATCCACAATGCTGCCGATGAGATTAACTTCCAAGAAAATCTTTGTCGATTGGACGAGTGGTCCCGCAGATGGCTCTTGTCCTTCAATTTGAACAAATGCACCATTCTGCGCCTCGGAAATCAGACCCCTAGTACGCGGCAATACCATCTGAACGGAATGCCACTCCGAGAAGCAGAAACGCAGAAATATCTCGGAGTCTGGGTTGCAGACAGCCTTAAGCCTTCTACGCAATGTTGTAAGGCGGCCAATGCCGCAACTTCAATGCTATATGCCATCAAGCGGGCATTCGTAGTTTTAGATAAAGACTGCTTCACCAAAGTGCCATCAAGCGGGCATTCGTAGTTTTCGATAAAGACTGCTTCACCAAAGTCTTCGGCACGTTTATAAGGCCTCATCTCGAATATGCAATTCAGGCCTGGAGACCGTGGACGCATCAGGATTACGATCTGCTCGAAAGGGTGCAGAGGCGAGCCACAAAATTAGTAAGAGGTCAAAGCGCACTGCCATACGAGATCCGCTTGACTAACCTTAATCTCTATCCTCCGAGTTATAGGCAGTTGCGCGGAGACATGATACAAACTTTCCGTATCGTGCGCGGCTTGGATAGTGCCCTTCGGCGCGATGACTTTTTCCAACTCGCCAGTACAACTCACCTCCGGGGACATCCCTTCAAGCTACGTGTGCCACAGGGTAGACCGAATGTGAGAAAATATTTCTTCTCCAACCGTGTCGTGGAACCGTGGAATAACCTGCCCGAGACGGTTGTAATGTCTCAATCTGTGGAGACATTTAAATGTAGCCTTGACAGATATATGCTGCAGCAACAAGCGGACTATGTGACTTTTTAGCCATGTGACCAGTGACATATGTGAATCAATGTATGCATTCACTTAATGCTGCAATTTCTTCACATTTTTGCTTGTTTATCGATTTATGTACAAATAGGGAGTTCAAAGGCGTAAGCCTATTTCCCTCAAATACACTGACACCGACTGACATTTGTATCATTGTTACCCGTTTACACAATTCATACCCTAAAATAGACTCCTTATGTCTACTCCTCGTCTTCTTATCATCTCAGCATGTGTGTTCGACCGGTTGCTAGCTTAACCTGTTCAGCGTTAGTACGAACAAGGAATCGACCTCACTGTCATCGGCCGGACTCGCGGCATCGGAGGTGCCCTCGTCCGACTGCCAACTCCTACCAACCTCTTCCCTAATTTTTCTGTACAGAATACAACATCCTCGCAACTGGCGTTCCACTTCTTCTCTTCCTGTTCGAAACTGGGCCTGACGGTTGCTAGTGGTAATGATTCCACATTAGCTGACTGCCTATGGGTGGGTCCACCCGGAATTACGGTTACCGGGTGCAATCTATTTGCGGACGCAGACCCATCCGTCCACCTTCATGCCTGAAGTACTAGGAGTCGAGTTGCTGAATTTAAGCGGCTTTTATATCCTATGTGTCGTTGTTATAGAGTTCTGCATCAGTGAGACCACGCTAGACTGGAAAATCCCAGTGAACGGCTCTTTCCTCTTCAGGAAAGATCGTCGAGATTATGGATGAGAGAGAGGTTTCAATTTCCCGTGTGAATTAGCAATTGTTGTATTTCTCACTGGAAATCTCAGTAGTAGATTCCAAGTACTGAACGCCTTATGAGTTAAACTTAATTAACGGATCGCGATCACTTTCGTCTGCGTATTGTATCCAAGACTCAGCTTCACGTTGTCGACCATCAAGTCGCGTCTTCGACACAGATCCTCCTTGTACTCGAGATGTGACCTAATTATAGTAAAGGTGAGTATCTGGTCATGACTTAAACAGGAAATATCTGTTAGCTGCCAAAAAAATTCAGCGGTGGTGAAGATCCCCTCGTCACTCGACTTTACACGTCCTGGCTGTTTTCACAGTTAGATCTCTTTTCCAGAGGGTTTCATCTTGCTCTCGGCTTTATGTACTACACTAACAGTGTCTGGTTCGATCAACTAATAAAGGACAATGGGCGGGGTTGCGGCTGCCATGCAGAACACGGCGTCGTGAAGGCACAGGTGTGACCTCCGCGTCAGTGCGGGTCATCGGTGCTTCTCGTGGGAACCGCCAATAGGGTGACCAATCCAACTTATCGATTAACCTGGATCGACCCTACCAGCAGCGTGGGTCACCGTGTGATGGTCCCTAAATCCTCATGAGCCTACGAACAGCATGAAATAAAGCCAAAGGTATGCCAGCTAGGAAAGCATTTTTTCAAATTTAGTCAGGAATTTCATCCACTTGCGACATCAGTTTGAGTTTCGCTGAAGGAAATTGGCGCCTTTGACGTCGGCCTGAACGAACCACAACCACCGGTTTAAGTTTTGATGTCAACTGATCGTGGCGCCTACCCGTGAGGACAAGCATGCACAACAATCTCCTAGTTACCGCATAAATTCCTTGAAGCGCTCAAACAACCTTCCTATGTTAAGATCTTCCCTAATCCCCACATGCATCAGCTATTAACACAAAACACTTTTTACTTCATTATCTGCAACCGAAGGTCTGACTTTGGATTTCAGGGATTTTAGGAGTCTGTCGATATAACATCCCAAAAACCCTATCAACTGAGAACCTGAAGGCAGCCATTACTGAATATCGAACAGCTTCCTAACAACGCCTAATCCCTTCTGTGGGGACATGTAGACAGTTTTTCTTTATTCAGCCACGTTATTCAAATTTCAATAAAAGTTAATTTCACACCCTTTGCACAACCATTATTCCATTACCGATAGAACGCTGCTAACCAGCCTGGTCTTCTAGTTCGTCTATGCTTGCTCCATAATCAGCCAGAAATACAACGTCATTGTAGGACCGACTCCCTTGACTACCAACAGGGGCATCATTATTTCCTTGCGGAAGCACGTGAAACTATGGCCCTATTTCCCAAGGATAGGGAAATGATAGTCGCCTAAGTTATTACTCTCTAATCAACGCCTCTATTCCGAGCAGAGATCACCTGAAGTCACACTCAACAAGCTTCGATGCTAAGTTGTGGCAACAACACACGTTGGGTTTGGGACTGCTAGCAACCTAACCAACTGCGAGCCCTGAAATCAAGCGTCTATTGTGTGTGTGTGTGTGTGTGTGTGTGTGTGTGTTTTTATTTTTTAGCACCCTTCAAGAATAAAATTATTGCACTTCTGTGGCTTTGTGCGTTGGGCTTGTACTGGCGACCACCCGAAACTGTTACCACAGACAGACCTGTGAACTAATTAACATTCCATCCTTCCTTTCGTGGCCCCAGGGCATACGTTACGGGCTGAGTGGCTGCTCTCCAAGCATTCGGTATCCTTTATAATTCTGATATAAATAACGTCTTTCAGGGTAAATTATAAGATTGTTTCTCAGAAGGCCCCAACTAATTTAGTTATTACCGATGTCAGACTGAAGTCCTCAGAGCTATTTTCCAGTGGGTGATGGCAAAAAGGCATAACTGCAAGATTGTTAATAAAGTTAACCGGCCTTGCCTTGATTTGGGTTGTTTATTTCGCTGGAATTCTCGAAGTTTCTATGCTGTGTTCTAGAAAAGCCCAGAAATCCTAAGGCTGACTGCAGTCACCTGGTCCAATCAGCAACGAGTGAGCTTGGCGTAGGCAGTCGCTGTGCGCGCTCCTCGATGCGCTAGACCGTGTCAGTATCGCACGCGTGCGTTATGGTCAGAGATGGTTTCGATGACGTCAGCGGCAAGCACTGACTGTCGATGCGGCCTTCTGTAGTGCTGCCTGTCTTTAGATGGGCAATCCAGACAGTGGCGCGTCCCTGAAGTCCACGGGTGCGTCAGTCTAGGCTTCAGAGTTGAAAACGAGGCAATCACTCTTTGGTGGGGACGAACCTCTGACTGATTTTTTTTGCCAAAGTCGTAAAGGACGTGAGGGCTCGGGGGGATGGGTAATGAAGTGTGCGCGGACAGAAAAATGCTGATCCTGTGTGAACGCGGGACTGATTGTTCAAACTGGAAGCATTATTATTTTGAGGGCGATGGATGAGCGATGGCGAAAGTGGGGTGATAAAATCCCGCCAAAGAAAGGGTGAGAGGAGGAGGAGGAGGAGGAGGAGGAGGAGGAACTGTATCTCCGGTAATCGTGCCTTGAATGCGAAATACGCACACATGTTTCTCCTAAAGTCCACTTTCCACTCAACTGCATTTTCTCAAGGCAAGGATACCGAAACGCCCTCCCACCCTATTCTCGGGTGGCCTGATATGGTCAGAAACAGCACGAGAATATTTTAGTACAGAACACGTGGCCTAGAACATATACTTTAGTAACCATTGAAATAGGGTCTGGTTTAGCCATTGTAAGAATCGTTTGTTACGTGATACAATCAGTCTGTGGTTAGATACTCTGATTCTGACACGTTCCAGACATCGAATTTTTCTTCCCAGCTGGTGTAATTCGTGATGGCTCACAGACTCTCCTTAAGTCTTGTTCTGCTTAACTCGAACCAATTTTGACGCATCTCATTAATTTGTGTTTAAGAGAATCTTATACGCGTTATGTTGAAGGTATTATCCGAATAATTTTGCCCTGAGTCCTTCTGCTCAGTTATTCGCCCACCAACTCTTGTGAGGCTTAATGTACGTGCTGCCCGAAGCAGAATTATACCATTCTTCGATTTCTCAAACGTCCACCAGGGAGAGAGAGACGTCGACCTATGCAACTATCCTTTACTTAATTCGACCTACACGCATTCGCACTCACTGCACCTTATAGAAACTGACCGCGGAGTTGGCCGGTTTGTGTTTTCGTAATCAGCAGTCGGACTGCATTGGCGTCCGCCTAAAAGGACCTTATGATGAATTTTGCGAATATGAAGGCAAAATGTGCGAAATCTAGTTCTAGTGGTGTATGGTGAGACATCGGCTAAATTCTTGGCCAGTTGCTGTCCACATGCGAATTGCCTGTTGACTTGGCCCGATTTTTCCACTGGAAAATGGCGAATGCTTATAGACGTCATGGGGCCTAACCGGCAAAATACAATTGAGAGGAAAACCCCTGAGGTTGTACGGACGTTAAAACGTGCCTTTCTTTGATTGGGGCTAGACTCCAAGGTGTTTGCCTGCCGTTTGTTACAGTACTCAGTCTGCGGTTCAGTGTCATAAGGATTTGTGGAAATGCACATATTGCCACCACTTGGTCTGATTCGATTGACAGCCTACGGTGTGCCTACGAAAATAATTTTAGACAACTGACCCCACTGGCGGTGGCACAGTTGTTGAAGCTTCTAATGCTGGCGACGAGAGGGGTGTTGAACGTAACAGTCTACATTCGTAGTCGCGACCGTCGATGCTTACTCATACTGCGTTTGGTTCAACCCACGCGCCTCGTCAGTCAAACGTCTGCTCCACGCGCCACTCGGTCTCCGCCGTGGCGACGGCGTGATGTCGATCGATAACTTGCCTTTCACTGATTGGCTGTATGCGCCCCCTCAGACAGCGCACTGTTGAGTCGGCGGCGGCGGCGGCGGCTACTTGGGTGCTCACTGGTGCAATAAAAAATACCCTACCAATTGTCATGCCAGTTTTAAATCTGGAAAACCCGTTAGTTAACGCAGTGATCTTGACAAGCTACAAAATAAACTGAGATGCTATGCCCTGACCGAGAGTCTTGAGCTTTCCGCATATTTGTATGATTCAAAAGTCAGATGTGGTTATGTAGCCCCACCTGAAATAAACAAATCCCAGCCACCTGTTAGATCAGAGCGGCGGTAACGGGGGTTTTTACAGGTGGGGCCGGGGAAAGCACAGGTGACGGGGTCAAGTAGTTGGATGCAAAAGAAACGCCATTGGGAATGCGCGGTTGTACTTTGAGTGGTTGAGAAATAGTTGCCCTAACCTCTGACCCCAACCCCACCAGTAGTGTGTTCATCAGGTGCGGCTACGCAATCACATCCCACCAATTTAAGTACCCAGTCTACTGTATCGTGCAAAATCTACCAATTCTGTAAAAGAGGCTAACTAACCGAAGTAAGTTTTCCAGATGACAACCAGTAGGTGTTGCGGCGGACTGACTACTAGATTATGAAAAACCCTTTGGCCTACGCCGACTGTTTTGAGGCCTTGCCCCCTTTGCAGCGGATCCAAACTTCGTTGAGTTTTCCACTACCGAGTTGTTATAAGCTCCTTATTGATGGCTGTCGAATCTCGAAAGACCTACTGTGCAGGCCGATATGGAAAAATCCAGTGACTACCATGTAAGAATCTAGGTGCGATTGAATAATCCCGAAAAATAAGGGTGGAAACGAAAGATAACTGAACAACTACTTCCTGCCCGCTGACATAATATCTCTAGCAATAACCATTTTACAAGATAGCAGATCACGGTGACACATACCAGTCCCAGGATTGATCAGCTTCATCGTTTGCTATGTTGCCTTTTTACAGCCATTGAGGATGAACTTAGAAGAGAGTCTGAGAACTCAGAATATTAAAGTCGTTTTCCCTGAGCTCGACATTTTCCCTTTATCCTCAACTAGCAGAAAAAGGGAATTAACAAAAGGCAGCAGTTTGAATTGTGCTCGAGAACTTCGTTGGGAAAGAAAACGGATAACAGCACGGTCACCCCCAGCATATTTGTCGTCCTCAACAAACCGACTGTCACTCAAGGTCGGCTACTGTGTTTAACGCTACCATTTGGACTGGGGATCATACCCGTTCAGCATTAAACGGGAAGAACTAGCAGGACGTGGGACGCCATCCGTCGATTTGATCTGGCCGTGCTTGTACTTGACTTACTTGATACGGCTGCGATCATGCCTGGTCTAGCCGGCCTCGATGATGTCACGAATTGTACCTCTCCACGTGTGACGATCCGAGGCAGCAGATCTGGACAGCTCAACCCATTCCCTTCGCCAACGACGTAGACCTAATACCGAAGGCCCAAGAACCACCTCCATGTCTTGACGAACCGTGTCGAGTCAGGTTTTGAGTTGACCCCTCCCCCCCCCCTCTTCGACCTCTTCAATGGGGTAGCGGTGACGGATAGAGGATAGTAACACTGAGCTCCTGAGGTGGACTACGAAGAACATGCCCGAACCGCCTCAGCCGTATTCCTGGGATGGCCTGAGTTATCCTTGCGATGTTGTCGCAGCAAGTGAGGACTGTCTCATTTCGAAGTCGGTGAACTTCACTCGAAAGATGGTCCTAAAGCAGTGGTGGTCAAATACCTCCTGTTTTCGCTCGTACTCCATGCACACAGCCCAGTATTCACAACCGTAGAGAAGGACAGACCAGACAGATGCACAGTACACAGCAGTCTTAGTGACGATGGAGAGGTCACGTCGGTTCCATATGCATTTCCGAAGGCTTGAGAAAACGCAGCGGGCAGCATCGATTCGGGAGACAATGTCGTCCTTACTCTGTCCATTAGGCAGCAGCCTCGCCACGAGGTATTTTAAACTGTCTACTTCTTCAAGTTGACAGTCATCAATCCCGAGGGGTGTCTTCTCCTGGTCAGGGATGCAGCTTGAAAACACTTTGGTCTTCCCAGCGTTTATGTATAAACCGACAGATTTAGCGACCTTGTTCACCCGTGACACCATAGACTGCAGATCACCAAAACTTGAAGCAAGTAAGGCGAGATCAGTCAGTCGGTGTCCGGGTGCAAACTCAACGCCGTCACCTTCGTGTAGGATCCTCCCGAGGATCCAGTAAATAGCATAGTTGAACAGAATGGGTGACAGGATACAACCCTGTCGGACACCAGACCGAATACCGAATGGTTGGGTAAGATTTTTGTGGACCAGAACTCTCGCGGTGGTGGGACGATAATAGACCTTGACCGTGGTGATGATTTTTGCCGGTACGCCATCTAGCGCCATTAACCGCCACAGGGACTCCCGATGGACGGAATCGAACGCGGCGGTAAAGTCAATGAGACAGACGGCCGTCGGTTGTTGGTAGCTATGACGAAATTCGAGAATGCGCCTCAGTGTGAATACCTGGTCTGCGCATCCACGTCCAGCACGAAATCCGGCTTGGTTGGGCCTCGTCCTTGAGTCAAGCACAGCCGGGAATCGCCGGAGTAGGACAATAGTGAAGATCTTCGCACCAACGTCGATGAGACTTATGCCGCGGTAGTTCTCGTATCTTCCTTCTTGAGGATAGGTACAAGGATTCCTAAGCCCCAGTCACCAGGAACAACCTCGTCTCTCCACGCTCGTTCAATCACCTTATGGAGCCAGTGCGCCAGAGTGTCGACACAAGACTTTAAGATTCCAGCGGGTATACCATCCTCTGCGGGTGCCTTATTGCTGCGCAACTTTCGTATGGCATCGCCGAATTCTCCTTCAGAGGGAGGTCGCATGGCGCTGCATAGGTAGGAGAGGGAAGAAAGTCCGCTGAAGAGGAGACCAAGGGAGAGGTAGGATGGGCATCAAAGTTGAGATGGTGCTCGAAGTGCTCACGCCCGCACTCGACTTTGGCCGAGTTGTCAGCAATAAAGCCGCCGTTCACGTCACGAACAGAGTCACTCAGTGTAGAGGGCTTACCGCTAACCTGGCGGATCAGTTTAGAGAGCTTTCGAGTGTCACCAACGTTCGAGGCCTGTTCCATGGAGGTCGCTATTTCAGCCCAATATTGCCTCCGGTCATCCCTGGCCGATTTTGCTCTCATCTTCCGAAGTTGGCGGAAGCAGCCATCGTTACGGTACCTGGCTCGAGCCGTCTGAGCAGACAACTTCAGGGTTCTTCCGCTGACCCGGCCACTGTGGCGTCGCTGGATGTATCCAAGGATTTTCTCAGCTGCCCCGTAGACTGAAGTCTTCAGTGACGACTACTGGTTTCTGACTTCTCCGTCGGCTCGGGTCGTAAAACAGGTCTGGATTTCTCTGCTTAGGGCCTCGGCGGTGCTGGCTTGCCGGATTTTTGCGACATCGAGGCGTCTAGGGCGTGACATTGTTTGCGCGGATGAGGGATGAACTTACATACGTGTACGGGCGAGGCCATAGTCCGACCCATGGGCGTTACCAGTTTCGGCACCACGCATTGATCTGCTATCGTGAACCCAGCTGCGGAACCTTGAGCTGACTGGTATGTAATCAATCTGACTGGCCGTATGACCGTAGTTTGAATACCAGGTCAGGTCTGGTCGTTGCGAGCAAGGCGACGGTGATCCAGTTACCTGGTCTCGAGGCAATAAATCGGGGCATTCGTTGGATCACGAACTCGACGCGAGACCGGTGTTCGCTGACCGCAGCTGACCTAACGGGTCACAGTGGGGGTTTGAAGACGAAAGAAGCGACTAGTCGCCCAAGAGTCCGACGAGTACTTATTTCTGGCGACCACCAATAGTCTAGGGACCACAGGTGTGGAGAATGACAAGTTGATGTGGATTTGACGGGTTAACGATTACCACAGTCACTTGACTAGGAACTACCCATGTGTATGGCGGCATTCTGGGCAGGCATTGCTGTTGTTAGTGGGCAGACCACTCCTCTCGGCAAATCCGACCGGGGTAGGCAGAACACAGCCAGTTAGACCACGACCCTTCTGGCAGTGGCTGTGGGACGGTTTCGTAGGAGACATAACTTCCTCCCGAAAGTGCGTTTCTCCATCCACCAGCCGGAGAAGGAATTCAGAAGATGCGACCACTGGAGCAGTGACCTCATCCTCTGGAATTGGACCATGTCAGCCTTCGAGCCGACCATCCCTCGTTAGGACTTACGCACACCTTCAGTCCCGAGCGACGGGCACCTAAATCACTGCACCCCATCCCCCAGGCACCGTAGAGCACTAGACAGAACACACTGAGGAGATCCTCAACGGCCCCACATCTCCAGCCTGAACATACCAGGAGCGACAAGTAGTGGCACGCGGGCTAACCAACCACCACCCCTGAGTGGAGAGAGAGAGAGAGAGAGAGAGAGAGAGAGGGAGAGAGAGAGAGAGAGAGAGAGAGAGGACCCATTTGCCAAATTAGGTGAAACCGAGTCGCAGGGCGCGCTGCCCAAGACTCCTGTCTGAGGTCTGTTTGGAAAGGCCAGGCAGAAAGCTTGGCCTGGAACATATAAGAGACGAAACACCGGTTCAGGGTCTGCAACCTCAAACGAATAGAATTATTGTCCTGACGATTGAATCCTCTTTTCTGCTGATGTACTTGGCAATGGCTGTTAGTCTCCCCTTACGTTTTGTTCTGCTGAGTTCAGACCAGTTTTAACGTACCTCATTAATTTGTATTTCAGAGAATGTTAGATGACTAATACTGAACCTACCCTAAGTCCTTCCATTCACTTATTTGATCACCAACTTTTGTGAGGCTTACTAATCACACCATATTTCGTTTTTTCTAAAGTCTAACAGTTCCTTTTAAACCCAGGCTCTGTGTCTTTAATCCTGTCATTCTGAGGAATCACTTAACAAGAGCCTTCATGCGTACGCATATGTACTTGATCAGTTTTCTATTCAAAGTACTGTTCCACACAACCGCTCCCTTAATAATGGCACCCTCTGCTACTCCTCTCCCGAATAGTATCCTGTCCTGCAGGCCATTTCTCTTTAAAAAACAAATTTATCCACACTAGCAATCACTTGCCTCTGCATGTATGTTAGAGGTGTTGATAAATTGTCATTAGTCTGCCTGACAAAAAACTCCTTTCATCCCCAACTTCCTAAGGAGGGCCTGTATGATGTAGGATAGGCAAAAAACGTCTATTTACCTAACAATAAATTAGTTATGTGCATTTGGTCGCGGCCTCTTACTTTCACCTTCATGATACACGTAATCCCCGTATCCTTCACACGGAATCAGCTTTAAGCAAGATTCCTAAGATTCCCAATTACATTAAATACTTCATTCCTACTACACCCCCCTGCTTGAATAGTTACAAATTCCAATCCTTAGAAAATTAGGCAACGTTTCTGTTCCACCACACCATACTCTACAACATTTGCACCCACAAAGGCAGAAGTTGTTTTCCATAAAAAACTAAGGCAGGAGATTACACTGAAGATTCCCGCAGGGATCGTGTTACGTGACGGCTAGCCGAGGTAGCAACGGCCTCCGCGACGCAACCTACCTACCGAAAATAGACACGCGTAGGCGACAAAGCATGATCGATCGCAACCTCAATCCCATTGGATAACGCGGACGGCATCTAGAATATTCTAACCAATAACAAACAGAGAACGCGGAATGTTCACCAATCAGTGGTCAACCGTCATCCCCGTGAATTCTAGTATAAAAGACCTGCAAAACACGGCCTGCTATGACTTCAGAAATTGTTCGCTTCCTTCTCCCTCTGTCTCGTGATGCAGATCTTCGTGAAAACTCTGACTGGCAAGACGATAACGCTAGAGGTGGAACCGAGCGATTCGATTGAGAATGTGAAGGCGAAGATTCAAGACAAGGAAGGCATCCCTCCAGACCAGCAACGTCTGATCTTTGCTGGTAAGCAGTTGGAAGACGGTCGTACGCTGTCAGACTACAATATCCAGAAGGAGTCAACACTGCATCTGGTTCTCCGTCTGCGTGGTGGCATGCAGATATTCGTGAAGACGCTGACTGGCAAGACGATAACGCTAGAGGTGGAACCGAGCGACTCGATTGAAAATGTGAAGGCAAAGATTCAAGACAAGGAAGGTATCCCACCAGACCAGCAACGTCTGATCTTTGCTGGTAAGCAGTTGGAAGACGGTCGTACGCTGTCAGACTACAATATCCAGAAGGAGTCAACACTGCATCTGGTTCTCCGTCTGCGTGGTGGCATGCAGATCTTCGTGAAGACGCTGACTGGCAAGACGATAACGCTAGAGGTGGAACCGAGCGACTCGATTGAAAATGTGAAGGCAAAGATTCAAGACAAGGAAGGTATCCCACCAGACCAGCAACGTCTGATCTTTGCTGGTAAGCAGTTGGAGGACGGTCGTACGCTGTCAGACTACAATATCCAGAAGGAGTCAACACTGCACCTGGTTCTCCGTCTGCGTGGTGGCATGCAGATTTTCGTGAAGACGCTGACTGGCAAGACGATCACGTTGGAGGTGGAACCGAGTGACTCGATTGAGAATGTGAAGGCGAAGATTCAGGACAAGGAGGGCATCCCACCAGACCAGCAACGTTTGATCTTTGCTGGAAAGCAGTTGGAGGACGGTCGTACGCTGTCAGACTACAACATCCAGAAGGAGTCAACACTGCATCTGGTCCTTCGTCTTCGCGGCGGTTGATCGTGTCTTGGCACTGACTTCTTTCATTAATCACCAAATAATCGCTTTATTTCCATCTATTTGCTTTCTCTGTGTCGGGGTGGTCGAGCGCTTCTGTGGGCTATCTTCTAGGTATTCGTGGCAAGTGCGGCCGAGCCTTGGTTCAGCATCGCAGGAGCGAGAGGTCGCCTGTGTATTTGGTATGGTCGGGTACCATCAAATGTCGGCAGGTAGCGTATTCCGATACGTCACTCTGAAGCCTTGTCGCATGCAGTCAGGCGTTGCACGGTTTCTTTCGTCAACCAGCGGTCTTCGATCTTCCGACGTCTTCTAACTTAGCCTCACCCAGGGGCGTGCGTGACGGTCGGTACGTATGGACGCGTTCTAGCCGGGAGGGATACGTACGCGGGACGACACGCCTCGAGCGCCCTCCCATGTTCGGTCTGACGCAACCGCTTCCGGAGGATATCTGGTGTGGCCGGGGTCACTGCATCTACCAAATGCCTTGAGTCTGTGGAGTACCTTGACGCACTGGGAAACTGTCGAGTTTGCTTCCCAACGGGCGACATACATGGAGCTCTCAGTTAGTAGGTGGTCTCGGGTTACCGGCGACAGCGAGGCGGGTGGGGTGGTGGGTCCACTCAGCACTCCCTGGGGGTCGGGAATTCGTGCAGTCGTCACAGCGAGTGAGAACAGTTTGACGTAATATAGGGTCGGACTGTCGTCGGATGGGCTTGGGACGGTATACTCATCCTATCCTGTGCTGTGTTCGTATGCTTTTCTGTCAACCTTCGAGGTTTTATGTGGTTCCGTCTTATCATAGTCTCCGCATACCCGCTTTGGGAGGGTTTTTGCTGATGGAGGACGACCGTAAGCCGGAAGCTTTAACTACCGTTGTCTGAGGCGAGGCAGTCCTGTCCCTTGAGCGCACCGCGTGGGCATCAGAAGCCATGCAAAAAGGACAGTTGAGGTGGTCCGGTTGCACCTTGAAATTCTGTCGTTGGATGGAGTATGGCGGATCGAGCTCGGGGTGCGCTGCCGTCGGTCATATAGTGCGTGACGAATAGTCACTCGCGGCAGTCCTGCAACTGACTGAGCAAGTCGCGGACGAAGACGATGTCAACCGTGTGCCCCACGGAGTGGGCACAGGATGGTGACCTGTGCATGAATTAGCTTGTAGTAGGGCGGACTTCCTCGGCATCTGCCGCACTCTCTCCTTCCTCACTCACCTGACTCAGATGGCCAGATAATACCCCGGCGACCCCGAGGTGGGTTTGTGCGCAGTGGATGACTAAAATCAAACACCAGATATACGCGACTGTCATGGGGTAGCACGAGTCTGATATGCCTGAGTGGACCGTAAGTTCCACAGCAAGTAGGACCATTGAGCCTGACTCTCGGTTCTGAGAAGGTCCGAGTTACCTCATGAGTTGGTAGACTTAAAGGCACGTCGTGTTGGGTGTAAGGACGTTAGACTTTTAGTGAGGAGC